GTTGCACGTAGGCGAACTTGGTGGGCTTACGTACAGAAGTAAAGAATTTCTTTAAATCTAAAACTGGTTTGTTGTTTTTTTTCTTTCTCTAGACCTGAAACTTGGTAAAAAAGTTAATGAAGGTAAAACAAAAGAAGTATACGAGCTGCCGGATATCCCAGGATGTGTTCTCATGCAATCAAAAGACCAAATAACAGCAGGAAACGCAGCCAGGAAGGACCGAATGGAAGGCAAGGCTGCCATTTCCAATACCACAACTAGCTGTGTGTTCCAGTTGCTTCAAGAAGCTGGTAAGTATTTAAAAGGTAGAATACATGCCTGTGTGTTACAGATACTGTTACAAAACAGTATTGTTTCTATGTATTTCTTTACCCTGCCTTGAGGCCCTGATGGGGTTTTTTTGAGTATCTTTTCTATCAGGTTTTTAGTTACACCTTTCCTCTGGTACTACAAAGCTGGGTAGGCAACTTGCTCATTTGGAACATGAGACTATCTGAAGTAATCTAATCACAGATAACACTGCAATAGTTCTTCCTGCTTGTTTGGACACACCTCTAATCCTCGCCTCTACTTTTGTCAGTTCTTCCCTACCCTATGCCCCCTTGCCTGTAATACTGGACTGGATGCATCTTGCCTGTCTTACTACATCTGCCTGCACAGAAGTCACTGCTAGCTAGCGGCACTACCAGGCTATGTCTAAGCTGTGTGAAATTTGTGGATGAATGTTAAAAGATAAAATTGGAGTGCTCTTTCATATGTGGTGGTTTTTTTTTTCCCCCTCTCAGTTGTGTGTACTATATCATTGTAAAGTTTCTGTATGCTTTGTATTTAAACACTTATGAGGACTCGATCACAAATGCATATATCAGTCTGTATTGAATGTATTGACAACGTTTACTTTGAGACTAAAAATTTGAGTTGCTCATGTAAATTTTGCACCACACTTCCAAAAATTAAGCCAGTATCTGCTTTGAGAAAGCATATTGAAGTGTCCTTTGAGAAGTTTGCAACTTGCAAAGAGGAATTTGAGCTGGTGGGTTTCTAACCTGGGTCTGCTAACAGTGTATAGTACAGGCACCAGTAAACTTGGTTGTGACTCTTCATGCGAGTGCTTCAAAGGGGACCGAGCACGCAGCTATGAAGACTTCTTCGAGTCGCAGCTGAGTACCAGTTACTCTACGCTTTATAGTAGATAATACAATTTTTAATAATAAATCTTGGTGAAACAGTAAAATCTTCAAAAAGTAAGTGTCTTCAAAAGTAAATGTTTCATATGTGGGGAAGAGAAAGATGGTTTCTGTAGAGCTGTATCTGCCTATATTTCTGTGCAAGTAGTTCTTAAAATATGGACTGACACGATAAAGATACTTTGCAAATGGATCAGTGGGAAAAGAAGAAAGTGTGATAGTCATTCAGTGTAATAATCCTCAGTCACTGCCTTTCTTGGGAGGCCTATTGTATGCACAATAGCCTGCAAGGTCTTCCTGATTATATTTGCAGTTGATTTTAAAACTACCAGTTTTCATTTAGGAACAATTAATTACATGTTCTGCCAAATTCTTAAATGGGCAATAGTTAAGCTAACAATCAAAATACTAAATATCATACAGGTATGAATTTTAAATGTGAAGAAGCCATGCTGTAGACATCTCAAAGATCCTTAAATGGCTTGTACTCAGTAACTTCAGATGCTCTGGAAAAATATGCAGAATTAACTGCAGCTGCATTTTAAAGCAACAAAAGAACTTTCAGGGCTCTTCTCCAGATTCGTTATTTAACTGGCATAAATTGTAGATAACATGAATGCCTTATTGTAGAAGTTGTTTATTTGCTTTGCGCAACTCTTCTTAACCTCATCTTTCAAAGGTGATGATTTACGAAGTTCTGTTAAAGTTTCTCTCTCTTGTATAACAGAGGTAATGTCAGCCCTTCTAAAGCACTCATCTGCACAGATAAAAAAATGTAGTAGTAAACCATGCAGGGGGCTTAATGCCTGGATAGAAGTGACTTAGTATGCAGTCGATTGTTTAAGTCATTCCGCTCTTGAGGGCGATGCAATAAAATCTGAAGAGCCAATGTTAATACTATATTTTAAGGCTTTAATTCTTCCTCTACGGCTCTGGAAGTCGAATGGTATAGAGCTACTTATTGGTTTGACTGGATGCAGTTTGGCAGTTGTCTTGCCCTGAGGGGAGAAAGGTGGGACTTTCCTCAAGAGGAAAATGAAAAAAGAGCTATTTTACACTTGCAGTGGCTGTCTGCATGTGTTGACTGTCCCTGTTTAATATGAGGTCATGTTAGAATTATGTAAGAAGGTTGACCTGCTGCAGCAGGTGTGTGTATGTGCATGTGCTTCTGAGTCTTAATGTCTCTTGCCCAACAAATCACTATGCTATAGTGCCCTAAATAAATGCTAGTTTGTAATGGAGGGGAGGACTAAGTCATTCTCTTCCCAGCCCCTTTCTCCTTTATTAAACAAATTAGCAAACACTACCATGCTTCTATATTTTGCTGCCTTTACCTAACTCTGAAAGCCTCCTATTACTGTTCCACGTATGATGGATCTTCCACCAGGGAGCATGGTTGGGTACTTGGTTGCTGCTAATTTTTTTGCTTAAAACCAAACAATTGTGAGGGATGGATTTTTAAAAAGGTCTGTGAACAAAATTATTTGCAAGAATGGGATTTCTGACCAGAGCATAAGGTTCTGAGCTACAAGCAAGCATTGTATGATAAACTTAGCAAGGGTAATGACTTGTGGAAGATAACGGCAGTGATGGCCTTTTGCAAGGCAAAAGGGGGCTTAAAATCCCTTGAAGAAATTCAATGTGTCCCTTAAGTCCAGAGAAGAACAGGATTCAGTTGTACTTAAAGATGATTGTGACTCGTTTCAACTGTGGAGTGTGCCTAGTAATAGAACTAAGCTGCCATCTTTATATTTAGGAATCAAAACAGCTTTTGTCAGGAAACAGAGTGACACAGCATTCATAGCAGCTCACTGTGAAATGATCCCAATTGAATGGGTGTGCAGAAGAATTGCTACTGGCTCCTTCCTCAAAAGAAACCCTGGTGTCAAAGAAGGATATAAGTTTTACCCACCCAAAATTGAGATGTTTTACAAGGTAAGTTTCCTTTACTGTGATGTTAATTGAACTTAATACAGAGTTCTAGCTCTGTTTAGCTCCTTTAAAAATGCTGACAAATAAAGCAAGTAGCACTAGTGGCTGACCAGTCCTCTTAGTATTGGTACTTTTGCTATCCTAATGTTTTCTGGCATTCTTGTCCAACAGATGTTTTGTCTAAAGTGCATATAATGTAATACTGGCTTACAGGGCCATCAAAGAGTAACAAGCCAAACTGTACATACAGTAGGAAAATGGTTTTTCTTATAAGGACTTTTTTAGGCATAAGTCTAATGCATCAGTTTAAGCAGATGTGTTGATATATTTGAAGAAATTAAAATAAAAAGTACTTGCACACTGAGGTTAAGTAGCTAGCTAGTCAGTTAGGTTTCTGAACTTCTTTGGGAATGCATGCTGAAAGAAGTGTCTTGTGAACCGACCTAAAGTGGGTTTTGTACCCTGTGACTCTTGGTGCACTGTCCAAACTTCAAGTGCTTCTAAAGATGTTCAGGTGTTACAGCAAGTGTTTTCAATGTTGCTGTCACTTTTTTTATGCTAATCACAAAATACTAGTTTGAAGCCTGTATTTGTTTTTGAAAAACAAAGAAAACCTAGTATTATCTGCTAATGGTTATTTTCCTCTTCTAGCAAGCTTAACCAGAACATATACATGATGTAATTTTTCCTAACAGGATGATGCTAATAATGATCCACAATGGTCTGAGGAGCAGCTCATTGAAGCAAAATTCTGTTTTGCTGGACTTACTATTGGCCAGACTGAAGTAGATATTATGGCTCGTTCCACTCAAGCTATTTTTGAGATCCTGGAAAAATCATGGCAGCCCCAAAACTGCACTCTAGTAGACCTGAAGGTATAAGAATGTGCTTTCTCATGATCCTGGTTCTCACAGGAAATATATCACTGTATGGTTCCTAAAATAGGATTCTTACTGTCTTTTTAGATTGAATTTGGTGTTAATATTCTGACAAAAGAAATTGTTCTTGCTGATGTTATTGATAATGATTCATGGAGACTCTGGCCGTCAGGAGACAGAAGCCAGCAGAAGGACAAACAGGTAGGTTTTAATCTTTACCTTCTAAGTCAGCTGGGAAGGAGAATGAAAAAAGTAAACCCTATGGTTAAACATCTGGTTTCAGAGTGGCTTTTTCTAGATAGTCTTATCTTATTACAGAGTAGTCCATAGGATACCTAATGCCCAATCCTGTTCTCATTAAATAGTTAACTATCTGGTTATTGGTAGAAAAAAAAAATCCTGTGTATCTTCAATAGGAATGCCCAACAGCACTGTTGACTGAAGCTATTGCGATGAAACGTGGAGCTTCCAGGGGTAATAAGATTTTTCTGACTTGGTGTGCAGATAATAACATAGTTGGACAATAAATCAGTAGGGAGAATAGAAGCTTTGCATCACAGGTCTACGTCCAAGTTTCTCTGTTTATTCAGAATGGTAGCCTCTACCAGTAGAGATCTGGCCATACATAAGATGGATCTGCAGAGAGGATGATTTTCTTCATTATTTTGGTTAAGCTTGAATTGAAGCTTAACTTGTCTCTAAGTGTTACTAACAGACTATGTCCACATGAGGCCTGCAAACATAAGATTGAAATAAAACTTGTCCTATATTTTAACTTGTAGCAATTACAGTTGTCAACTACTTATCTGGTAGTTCAGAGATATTTATGAAAGAACCGGTTTGGGAATGCGGCTGTCACGGAGCTTCTGTGACAGTCGTCGAGACTAGGAACACAGACCCTATGACACACAGGGGAAGATTTCAAAGTGTGTGTGTGGGAGGAGGGGTATTACTTTTAAATTAGGAAACAGAATTGCTCTATTGTTTACTTTAACTGAATTCTGTAGTAGCATGCTTGAGTGAATTGCTCTAACAGTGCTTTGTCTCATCTCCCTAAAATAAGGTACATAATAACATCATGCAGAACCTAGGTTGGCTAGTGCAGTGCTACTGCAGGCAATCATGTCATTACCAATCCAATTTTTAAAAAAGCTGTATGCCTTTCCTTAAATTTACCCTTTGGCAAGCTTCCAAAACCTTGATACTCTCGTGGCTGGATGCCTTTCATGTTGCACATGGCCATGAATTGTAGTGTAGAAGGTTGTTTACACCTACTGAGATGGTTCTTCATTAAATAGCTCTTCCTTGCTTCCATATCCACTTTCTCCTGTATCTGTACTAATCTCCTATTCTCTTTCCTGTGGAATGGCTAGAAACTGCATAAATATTTCAGTTGGGGTGTTCTTATCAATTGTAGTAGCAAAATAAATGCTTTGAAGCTAACATGTTTTGGGTAAAAGGTATTTATTTTTCTTCCTCTTTTCAGTCCTACCGGGACCTGAAAGAAGTGACTCCCGAAGCACTGCAGATGGTTAAGAGAAACTTTGAATGGGTTGCAGAAAGAGTGGAGGTACCTGTTTTTTATGAACACATATCTAGACTTTGATAACTGCATGTCTTCAATCCTGTTGACTGCTTTACTTTCTCTCACTCCACTTCACTCTCCCTAGTTGCTTCTGAAAACAAAGAGCCAAGGTAGAGTTGTGGTGTTGATGGGATCTCCTTCTGACCTCAGTCACTGTGAAAAAATAAAAAAGGCATGTGCAACCTTTGGAATTCCTTGTGAGTTAAGAGTGACCTCTGCTCACAAAGGGCCAGATGAAACCCTGAGGATCAAAGCAGAATATGAAGGTAAATGTCAAAGAAGTACTGATTTGGATTGAAAAGCATCATGTTCAAGAATGACTTGGCAACTTAAGGATTTGTGTGGGGTTTTTCCATTTTTTTTGTTGAACAGAACATCAAGCTGTTAGAATGCTGTTCTACGCTTGCTAATTACATAATGACAGGGTATAGACTGCACTAAGCTATTAGAGTAATGTATTGTCCTACTGCCCAGCCTCAACTTCCGTTAGTCTAACCTCTGCTTTATCCCACAACCAGAATTACTTTGCCCAAGCCTTGATCATGTTAATACACTTACTGTAGCATCTTGCTGGGGATGCTGGCACTTCTGAAACAAGAAGGAGTGATAGTTTCTCTAGCTGACTCTGAATATTCTTATGTGTTACTTACAAGGCAGGTGTTGCTCCCGTTGTGTTTTCCTGCCTGTTTCACGAAAATATTCTTGCTTGTTATTTTAGATGCCATGAGAAAAAGATACTTAATTTAAATTTTCTTTATCAAGAAAACTTGACATCTCTTCAAAAGTGTTTATAGCCTAGCAGAGGAGAGAGAGAACCACTTATTTTTGTGGGAGCATACTTTCTACAGGGGAAAAGATTTGAGGAGAGGACTGCTTAAAGATGCCAGAGGTTTAATGGCTATGTTCTCTACAAAGCTAAGCAGCACCTATTCCTCTGATGCTGAGACTTCCCCTCAGAGGCAGAGTAAGACATGCTAACTTCAGTTGTGCCAAACAGCAGGGATTTAGAAGGCTGCAAGATTTAGAAGTTATATCTATGAAGGTGGAAGTTAAACATAAAATTCTAGTGCTATGTAATAGAACTGACAAAATAGTTGCAAACAGAATTGTGGACTTGGAGAAAGTTCCCAGAAAAGCAAGTGGTAGAGAACAAGGTGGACTGCTTATTTCTGAATGTCTTCTTCCCCCAGGAGATGGAATCCCAACAGTGTTTGTTGCAGTAGCTGGCAGAAGCAATGGTTTGGGGCCAGTAATGTCTGGTAACACTGCTTACCCAGTTGTCAACTGTCCCCCACTCTCAGCTGACTGGGGCACTCAGGATGTGTGGTCTTCTCTCAGACTACCCAGTGGTAAGATGATTTTCAACCTACACTCTTGTACTGACCTAGCTCGCTTTTCTTGTTGTTGTTCTAGTGTACATACGTATACAAAAACACATGGCAAAACACTGGAAAAGCAGCTGGATCAGTACTGGAGAAAGTCTTAAAAATATCTTGCATACAGTCCTTGATTTTTTTTTTTAATGGTAAAAAGCCCAATAAACAGCAAAGATTACATCAGAATAAATATCTTTCAAAGTATATAAACCTTGGCTTATCTTTGCTAAACACTCCAGTTTGGAATTGGTATTAATGAGGATTTAAATACTTGAATTCTGTTCACAGTTAGAGTTGCATTTTAGATGTGAATGAAGATAAAAAAATATTTCTCCGCAATCAATGTAGTTAAGAGCTTAACTCTCTTATTTCAGGGCATTGCTACCTGTATGATATTTTTACTTTTGTTGGTGACTTGAATGGAAGCTTGGCAGCTAGGAGGCCCAGAAGTCTGTTATCTCTGCATAAGGAGAGTCATTTGGTACACTGGCTTTTGGTTTAAAATGCCATAAAGCAGTGATGTTTGAAGTAGTGGAACACATGCCACTTCAGTAGCTTTAAAACTAGATCATGTGGTTCCTGGAGACCAAAACAAACATTGTCGTAAATTGTTCTGCAGAGGCAGTGTTTTGTATAACTATAAACTATGATTTAGTAAGTGGTAATCTCTCCTCTGCAGGTCTTGGCTGTCCTACTACTCTGTCACCTGAAGGAGCTGCCCAGTTTGCTGCCCAGATATTTGGGTTAAACAACCATTTGGTGTGGGCCAAACTGCGATCAAACATGTTAAACACCTGGATCTCCTTGAAGCAGGCTGACAAAAAGCTTCGAGAGTGTACCTTGTAAGTCATACTAACAAGTAACTTCTATTAGTTATGCAAAGATAATGGTGTGCTTATTCAGTCATATTAGAAGTTACATTTGAATGAGCTCAAAGTCCTGCATTCTTTGTTACAGAAGAAAGCATTGTTAGAGCAGCAGATGAAGTCTGTTGTGTCCTCATCCTTCCCTTGTGTATTTTTTTAATATAAACAACTTGGTAAAACATGGGGAAGTAGTATTTTAGGTATCTCTTTCTGTTGCTCCAAAATGGTGCTGTCCTGCTTTTTATTGTAAACTGTTAACTACAGACTATGTCAAGAGAATGGTTTGGTGCGATCTAAATAGAATTCAATTAGTCTTTATTTCTGTAACAGTAACATTCTGCCATAGTAATAATGTATGTCTTGAATCTTACTAACTCAACGGGACTGCTAACTAAAGCCAGTGCTGGTGCTGTTCTGCTTGCAAAGATGGTATGCTTTCTTTAGCAATAAAATGGCAACATATGCTGTATTAATAGGAAAAGGGGCTGGAAAAATGTTTTAAGAGCCTGAAATAAATACTTGCCTTATTTAAAAAATGTATATACATACATGTAGGTTGTTTTTTTTAGCGCGTGTGTGTGTGTATACATACCCCACTGATATCTTCTGGAATGATGTGATAAAGCTGACACCAATTCTCTTGTTTGTAACAAGCTATAAATACAGATGGTTTAAGTGAACTGTAACTAGGCTTGTTGTGTTTGCTGGAACTTCTGCCTAGTCCAGTTTTTGCCTTTTTAAATACTAGGCAGATCTCTCCTTCAGTAGTTCTAAAGGGCCTATGTAATGTTGTCAAATTGTCTTCATACACTTCAGCAGCTAATATATGTATCTGTATTTTCTCACCCTGTTTCTATGGAAATTTTACTGAACTGAGGGGGAATAAATCGTAAAGCAACAAACTACTGGGGGGAAATCTGAGCATGATTGTCTTGTCTTTGCACACACCAATCTTCTGAGTAGGTACGATTCTAACAGATATGCAGTTACTCAATGTATGTAACACTTATGCTTTTACAATTACAAATAAACTATTGAATTCAAAACTTCTTCATGGACATTTACTGAATAAGTACACTCAAAAACTAGCCATCAGCTGTGGTACATAACTTCAGGACTGTAAGTTACATAATAATCCTGTAAAAAGCTTATGTACCAAAACCTGCATAGAATGGTATTTGGTTGACAGTCTTTTCAAAGGTACTCTTACTACTAAAGTGTCTCACTGTTACAGGAGGAAGCTGTATAGAAGAGCTCTAAACAGTGTTCTCAGCAGTCTTGTCTTCTGGAGTTAAGTGCAGGGGTCTTATAATTGGTCAAAGCCTACTCTAAAGCAAAATGACTAGAATGCTTAGTCTTGAGGGTTGTTGCTTTTCTAATGAATTTCTAAATGAAACCTCAATAATAGTGAGGGCTAGTGATGACAAAGAGGTTGAAATGCTTTGGTGGCATACCATCTCTGTGGAAGCACTGACATTAAGTTCTTCATGTTTAAGACAGTGTTTTGTAGCAAGCAAGCTATTTACCCAGGCTGTACTTAAGCTTGCATAGCTGAAAGCATACTGTCAGCTAGCTCTGAACAGGATAGTGGTATTTATTAACTTCAACTAGCAGAGCAATTAATGGGTGAAAAAGTGCATGTTCCCTGTTTGGTTGGGTGAGTGAATTGGATCATCTTAGCTTGTAATCAGACAAGAACCAGAGCCAACGCTTATAAATGCCAGTGCAGCACTTCTTTCTCCTGGTGGCAGCAGCCTGCTAGCTCAGCTGTGTAATAATACATAACCTGAGGGTGCAGTTACACAAGAGGTGAAGATGTCATTTCCTATTCTTCCCCTGCCTACCCAACGCCACGCTGAGTGTTAGCTCGGAGGGTAATCAACCTGATGAACCTGTTAGTCACCTGACTACCCTAGCACCATGGTGAGCCAGACAACTGCAGCCAGCCATTTGTCTCTGTCTTTCCACCCATGTTGCTGCATTGTGTTGCTGTCTCTGTACAGTCTCCCCCCATGCAATAAAAATTGCTAACAGACAATGGTTTGAGTGCTACTCCTGGAATATCCTGTACTGTCTCAAGTTACTTTTCTCAAATTACTTGCACCCTGATTATACTAACTTCAGTTGTAAATTTGTGCCAATTTATGTTGGGCACGAGCATGCTGAGTGCTTTAGTTGCCATAGAGATGGTCATTCTTCAGCTTTTGGATAGGCTGGGGTGTGTTTGTGCAGTTGCCCTGCAAAGGACCAAGACGCAGCAGCTAGCATTAATACTATGTTGCTGTGATCAGCGGAGGAAGCCTGTGACGTCTGTTGTAACTGCAAGGACTTTATGCAGTTGTCCTAAAGGCTGCAGTGCCTGCCTTTGTGGCTGTTTAGTTGTTTAGCTGGAAGTTCTTCACAAAGCTTTTGCTGCCAAATGAAGATACCTCCCCTTGGTTCAGCATTCCAACAACTGCTACATTGATCCAATAACCTGAGAATTTCTTCAACCAGAAATTGCTTCTGTAGCATTTGCTTATTTTGTCCAATTTTAAAAACAAATTCTTAAATAAAAAGTGCTTTTATCTTTACAAAAAGTATTTCATAGAGGGGTTACTGAAATTTATTTGCATTTTTTTAAATTGAGTTGGAATATTTGTAACAAAAATCTAATTTTTAAGAACCTAGGACCCTGGATTAGATCATGTCCTAATTAGCAGTTACCTGCTTAACAGTATCTGTTCTTTAAAGATATCTGCCAGGAGCTGTTTAGATGTAGTAGAAGGAAGTGCTGAGGGCAGGACTTGTTTTACATCCTACACTGCTTCAGGTACAGGTGAGTGCCACCTGGTGTTCAGCCTCTATAACATCATTTCATTTCCAAAAAAACCCATTCTTTCAAAATGAGGGGAAAACCAGTCAGTCACAGGTCCCACTGAGTTGTCCTCCATGCACAGTTCAAAGGTTGAAGCAGCTATACAGGACCCTGAAGGCATGGGTTTAATATCCCCTGCCCAAGGGGACTTGTAAAAATGGATTGGAGGCCTCAGAGGATGTGATCTAGACTTCTTGGGGATGGCATTAAGGCACTCCTCGGTTTTGAAGCCTTTTGTTTTGAAAGCTATTAAAGTAATTCACGCTCAAAAATCATGACTGTTCCCCCACTAGAGTGGGCATTTGAACCTTTTCTCACAGCCCCAAAGTTCTTTAGCAATGCAACGTAATTGTGAAATAGTGTCAGAAATCTGGAGCCACGTTTTAAAATCAAATCAGAGGTGCCTGCTGCACTGCATGTGGATCACATTGCAGTAGGCATGTCATGCATTTCCACAGCATGCTTCCCTCTTCCAAACTTCCAAAAGCTTACGCATGAGAACGCTCAGTTTCTGGGCTCAGACAAAAATAAGGTGTAAAGGTTGTTTGAACAATCAAGACTTGTTTCAAGATATGTACAAGAGGAGAACCTTAAAGTTTCAAAGAAGGTTGATTTAAAAAAAAAAAAACCACCAAACACCAACCCTGAATTTCCCACAGAGCTTAAGTACCTCTAAAGCTGGGTTGCAGTCCCAGTTCCCAAATTCCTGTTCCATGTCAGATCTAAGGGTTTGCATCCACAACTCCTCAGAGCTGCTGTGCAATGGCTACTTGAGCAAGAGGGACCCTAAAGCCACTTAAGCATCTGCTGTTGTGCTTTTGCAGAAGCATTTTAGATCCTGACAGGGCAGAACAGTCTCTTACTCACTGAAGCCTCATCAGGATACACAAAGTCAGTGTTCCAGCCAGGATCTCCAAGCATGCCTGTTCTCTCAAAACAATCTGCACTCTACAGGCTACAAGTCACCCAGGTTCTAAGCAATTTAATCCTCGCTCTACTGGGGGGAAGGGATAAAAACTTTTCCCTTAGTTCTTAGAGAATGCTTTAACCACCACAGGCCTGCAGATTGCTGCAGGAAGGGAAGATCTTAATTTCACCCTTCCCCTGTTTCAATTTGTTTCCTTAAGTAAGTGCAAGAGGGGTTGGACCCCAGCAATGCTGCGGCTGCCTCTTCAGCTCTGGGTTTCTGCCACAGGAGTCTTGTAGCAGGCCTTTGGCAGATCCTTAAGCAACTAGCTGTCCTCAGTACAGAAACGATGATGACTCTGAAATATCAGTTCAGCCAGACTGGGAGCTTTCCGAAGGAGTGACTGTGCCCTGAGTGTAAACAAGATCTTCGACTTGGAGAAGACAGATTTGTTTTTCCCCCAGAAGGCAAAATTCAAAACTTCTGGAAGAAGGAATGAAGATGTATTTGCATGGAACTTGGTAAAAGAATTAACTCTAACAGCTTTTGTCTCTCTCTACCCTCCTGATGACAGATGTCATCACCAGTAGGAGGATGTCTTGACAGAAATATCATACAGCAAACAAGTCACCCAAAGCTCAACAAATGCTACAAATGCTTGAGAATATCAAGCATCAAGTTCAACTCTTTTCAAGGACAGAGCTTTCCAGAGAGAAGACTGTCTTAGGGAAACTCGGCGCTTCTGCCATACCGGGATTTCATCCAGCAATGGGCTGAAACGTGAGGTAAACAGAGCCGTTAAACCAGCACGGGAAGAGGATGGGCTGTGGCTGCCACCACAAGTAGCCTGCAGTCAGAGCCAAGTAAGGTCTGACGCAAAAGGAGGGAAAAAGGAAAGGAAAAACAAGGAACAAAAGAAACCCCCAGACAACCACCACCACCTTGGAGCAGCACTGGGGAGAAGCTAGCCCACTTTGCCAAGCATCTTGTACAGCTCTTTATGCTGAGAAAAACATTCCTAGCTGCAAGACCAGAAAGCTCTTGAATGCAAGGAACCAATACTCACACAAATAGATGATATAATTAAGTAGTTTAAGATGCCAGGCTCCAGAGAATTTCTGTTGGGATTGGAAAGTGACTGTATTTGTCCTATGACAACACAGCTCCCTGTCCTCAGTTTTCCATTACATTATTTCCCTTTTCTAACACACATAAACATCTAGTAAACTGGCCAGCTTCCTAGCTAGTACAGGTTCATAATCTGTCTGCTTTAAAAAGGTATTTCCAGTATAGGACATTCTTCCAAACAAACCAAATCCTCTCAACTAGAAGTATAAAGACTCTTTACCACCTTTTCTCTCTGCCATTCACACCTTTTTGTCCTAGAGAGCCTGCTACATCCTCATAGGCACTCCTGACTGCATTTAAACTACATCACTTGTGCTATCACTAGTGCAATTATGGGTTTAAATCCACGGTGAAATCCTGCTATTGGCCTTTGCTTGTAAAAGCAGTCGCAGTCATGAGCATCCAGGAAAATATAACTTCACTGGAATCGAGGCTCAAAACTCAGTGGACTCTTTATTTTGCTTTGTTTTGGTAAACAAATAGAATAACTTTAGAATAAGTTACATCCTAGCATTAAACATTTTACAGCTTTTTTTTAAATTGTAGAAAAGCCCATAAATGAGAGAATAATGGACAGATTTCAGTGTGCTACTGAGTGGCATGGATACAATAATCCTTAAAGAGGTATCTCACATCTACTCACTAACTGGAACAACCTTCTTCCCATTAGAAATCCATTTGCAGACAGCCAGGTTTCTGCAGTCAGTTCTGAAAGAGCAACATCTCAAACTTGGTCAGGTGCAGGCCAGGCAGTTGTGGTTTGTCTACTCCTCCTGGAAACCTGCTCAAAGCCAAAATTTCATCCATTCTTTCTGGGAACTATCAAAGGCATGGGTTAGATGACTTGGAAACCCAAAAAGATGAGCACACTCTCCTTCCAAGTCTTGTAAAGCCTCTAACAATGTTTGAATCTGGCTTAATCTTTCATGGGGTTCAGAGCAAACTTTTCTCCCTACTCACGTTCTAGCATCACTTCAAGTTTCATAGCCACCCCCACCAGCATATCTTGCAGCCATCTTTGCACATTGTCCTTAAAGATACTTTCTCACCCAGGGCACCAAGTTGTTACAAGAAATAACATTTGGTAAGAGTAATTTAGGGTAAAGAGACTAGAGGTGAGCATTAACCATGAATTAAGAATTTCAGTGAGAACTCTGGCCGCAATTTAGCAAAACTGAGAAGCAGTCCTTGCCAGAAAGATTTGAAAAACACACATCAGTTCTGGACAGATGCTTCTCAGTGCAGTGACTCCAGTCCCTTGTAGTGAAGTCTGACCTTTCTCATATTAACATACATGCACACCCCATGTATTGCATAGCTGTTTACAGATCACCAATCTTATGGGACACATCTAGTTTTCTTTATATAAAGAACACGTCTGCATCAACTTGTCCATCATGTGACTGATCAGGGAAGACCCAATCCCATAAATAAGGTGCCCCAACACTGACTTGGGGTAGCTCTCGATGGCTGGTTCCATGGGTGCTGCCTGGCAAAGGAGACATCCTTGTGTTGGGACAGAGGACGTAAGACGTGACAGTTTCCCTGACTGTTGCTCATCATCAGGTAAGACTAATCATTATCAGTGTCGTACCCTGCCTACACAGCAAGGGAGCTTTCCCCTTTTCCCTTGCTCACATTCTGCTCAAGCTTAATTACATCGATTGTAAACTTTATGATAATAATCTAAGTTGATCAAACTTGGTCTTTATTGCTGTTTTATCATTTGATAAAGAACATTTGCTGTGTGTCAAGGGGGGGAAATTAAAAAAAATCAAAAGGATAAGGAAGTACTCCCCAAATTGAAACCACTACATACAAAGTACAGTGTTGGTATCTTTCTTCAAGGTATTTACTGAAAGGTCTATGACAACATTCAGGTGAGCTTGTTCTGTCCCAAAGTGACAAAAGCTGGTCCACAAAACAGCCACTTGAAAAAATTCTGACTTAAAAATCCTCTTGAACATCTTTTCTCCCCATTCTCAATTTCACATCATTCCCAACAGCACCTACAATGATCACGTGCATGGAAGAGTTACTGAAGAGTAGTACTTACGATCAGTCTTAATGCAGCATGTGTAATCACAGTAACTTTGCTTTTGTTGTTGTTGCTATTTCTTTTTAATAAAGTTTTCTCTTACATGGTTTACAATTCCAGAAGTAGAACCGACACATGCACGGACAGTGCAAGCCAACTGACACTTTATCTGAATTTTTATTTTATTAAAAAGTCATGGGAATGTATAAAAACACCTAGAAGCCACATCTTCCAGCACACTAGGGAATACTCAATTTCAAAACTGAAGCTCTTGGCAAGAAAAAAAAATTACCACTAGATTATTTGGGTATTTCAAGCCTGGCTACAGGGACTTTTTCCTGTCAAGAAAAAAAAAACCTAAACCCTGTCTCCTGCATTCTTAAGATCATGGTGATAAAAAGATTAAGTTTCTAAGGTTATAAGATACTGAAGTAGAGAAATAGGGGATCTCCTCTTTTTTTATTACACAAATAAAGCTTTCCAAATATTAATTCAAGACTTTATTCATACAAGAAAGGGGAAATTTGTCCTAGGCAGAAGCCCACATTAAAAATGATCCAGCAGATTTTGGGTTCCTGTAATATCTCAAGCCTTAAACTCCAGAAGAGAAGGCGGCCAGAGCATCTGATTAGCAAGTCTGAAATACCTGACTGTTCTGCTAGAACAGTTTCCCACAACATTTAAGTTTTGTGAAATGCAAACTTCATAACTGAAACCACCTTAATTTAAACAAATTACCTTAATTTAAACAAAGTACATACAAAAGCAGGACACCAGCAAAACACTTGTCTGACCAATAATCAGAGACAGGTACTGTAATCAGAAACAGATTAGGTACATACCAATTACGTCATGAAGTGCCCACAACCTTGATGTAGGTTAAACAGCTGCTTCTGGATTTACTTAAGATCCCAGAATAGAAGCACATGGAAGTGATTTGTAGGTTTTGATAAAGTTAAAAATATACAAACTTTTAGCTTTTATTGAAAATTAAATATATTAGCAAAAGCAAGATTTAAGAAATATTTTACAAATGATTTACATACAAGAAAGCCAGTATCAGACATATTCACAAATATGCAAACCTTTAATTACAAAAAGTACCTATTGGCAGCATGATGCTAACCTTGCCACTGCAGTGTGCTCTACTATCCATATGAATAAGGCATAGAACTCACATTTGCACCAACTTAAAAAGTTCAAATAAAACTTTAAGCTTTTAAATCCTGGATGCACAATCCCCAATACACACACGCACGCTCTAAGATTTCTTCTTCTAAGCTATATAAATTAGGTGCGTGCTCTGGAAGAACAGCCAGCCTGAAAAGCCCAGTACTAGCATTTAGTTTTCAGCTTCCTCTAACATGTACAGGCCTAGGTATGTAAACCATATTCACAGTTTAAGTATTTTTAGACAGAAGTACCTTTTTTTGCATTTGTTCCTTAAAATTGGCTCTCAGTTCAGCATACAGTTCATAATGTCACCTGTTTTGTGATGCATACATTTACAAGGTAACTTAAAATCTCTGCCATATTCATGGTCAAGATAATTCAACAAGAGTAGTAATATCCAACAGTGACATTCAATACTATATTTCAAATATTTGTGCAAACAGCAAAAGAACAGTTGTATGAGGCAAACATTTGCAAAACCTTTAATACCTCCTCAATGTTGTAAACTTGGACTGTCAGCCTTAAGTCATCCAATTCCCACAGCTTTAAAGAGTCAGTGGCTAAAATGATCAAGTCTCAGAAAGGTTCTCTTCTACATAGTGCAAATAGTAACGTAGGTAACGTGAAAAACATATCTAGCTGGGTTGACTTTGTGCAATCATCAGTGGTCTTCTCTCATAGTTGAGGCAAGTGTGCATTCAAAGAACCACGTGGTTCAGGAAGTCGGGAGGGTGGGGAGGAGAGAGAAAAAGCAGTTCCATTACACTTCTCAAACCAGCGCTAGATGTGCAAAGGCAGCAAAAATTCCAGCTGCTACTACAACCAGAATGGAGTAACTTTTCAGGAAGACCCAGGTGGTTAGTCACTTGGACTGGTCTCTAGAAAAATATGTGAGTATATGTTGGATTTTTATCAGACGGTCTTTTAAAGACATCATGGAGAGAACTGACAGCTGATATCTGGGGTCTACTGGGAGAACAGCCAGAAGCCACCAACACCAAGCAGGACCATTGGGCATTGCCTGAAAATAAAAGTTAAGTTGGTTACCCATAACCAATGTAGTATAGTTGACTAACACGAAGACATCAAAAGACAGAGCTGTCAATGACAAAGACTAGTTTAAAGTTTGACACTAATTACAGAATTCCAGATCCATGAGATTCGAAGGGTTCTGAAGGGATCTCAACTGAGCGGTCAAATAAAGTACACTTAAACTAAGCTTGATAAAGCAATTATTTTTAAGACAACAAAGGAAGCTCATAGCTCCCTTGGGAAAAGATGGCAAAGTGTAGGACAGTCACCTAATAACAAAGCTCCCTGATTAAAAACTAAATCCATTACCTATCATGCTATTCTTGCGGCTTGAATATTCTTGAAGCCTAATGCTTTCATTTCATTGTCTTTGTTATATTTGAAGGACTCCTCTATCACCTCCCAATTCCACGCCCTCTCATTACCTCCTAGACAGAGCAGAACTACTTAATCAGCATCTTCTAAGTTGATAAAACATACTCTGTAACTTTTTCCTGTACCTTATTCAGTTCTCTACACCAAGCCTTAGATGTCATGTCGAGAACCGGACATAACACTCCTCAGCAGAGGTCCTGTCACTGCAGAGATGATTAATTACCTCAAATGACTTGCAAAAATATTACTGGTAGTGGTACACTCCAGGGTGACATTTCTTCCCTTGCATTTGGATCACATGGCTGACACATTTGTGTTCTATTATAAATCTCAGGTACATACCCACAGCATCGCTGCCCTGCTACTTATCCTGGGTTTGCACACTTACTCCTCTTTCCTAGCATGTTGTTTTAAATCTGTTTTTTCACTAAACTGTTCTAAAATCATTTCTGAATTCACGCACAGGCCTCCACAGCAACTACAGTCCTCCCAGATGCATTAATATAGCGTCATAGAAGCATGTAGCAGATGGGTGAGGGACAGGCTTTCATAAGATCCCACTTCATATGTAATTCCACTTTGAAAGCCAATTTTACGTATTTTTAAATGTTACTTTTCTCCAGCCTTCGCTCTCTCAGGATCTCACCAACCTTCATTAAATGTTTATAATAACCATTAAAATAGATTGCTGCAGTTAGTTTCTTAAGCAACGTTTGTCAAATATAGCAGCATAGCAGCTGCAGCAGTTTATGGCACTCAGAAAGGAAGAAAGTGTCATTTGTGATTACCTCTTTGGCAAAGATTACTACCTGCATGTGTCACAGAGAAAATACATTACTTCCCATTTTAATTCTAACAGCTTTACACAAACCAACAGTTTAAAATGCTACTGGAACTGAGAACTTGTGTTCTCAGTTTACTAGTTTTATCTCCACAGCAGCGTATCATCCTTTCCCGCAAAAACTGTTGAACAGTGACAGAATTGCCTTTTGTTGCTCATCATAAGACAAACAAGATGCAAGCCTTATGCCTTCAAAGTTGGGAAAAAAGTGTTTTTTTTCTTCTTTTAGTGTTTAGCAGTTGTTAAAAGGGGTTTTATTTTTTAGAAATAAGCCCCTAATAATTGATATTAAATGATGTCTCACCTGTATATTTTCCTCCCTGTCAGGCATTGGCCCAAAGTGCTGAAGAATTTGAGTGCGAAATTTGTTTCTTAAATTTTGGAACCAACTGCAGGCCTGATTGTAAACAAAATTGTGAAGTTCTCTCAGTTTCTTTAGTTGCTCTTCATCAGCAACCTATAGGAGGAATGTAATGAAAATATCATTATAGATAGAGAAACAATTAAGGTGTTTGATTTTTTTTAAATTATTTAGTTTAATTTCAACTATATTTAGATACATTTCTTGCATTCTCCTAAACCTTGAAGTCCTGTGATATTTTAAAAAGTTATAGCTTCAATCTATTGTTCGAACAAAACCCATAGTTTTTCTTTGTTGCTTTATGATAACAATAATTTAAAAAATTAAGCTAACTTCCATTTCTTCCATGTGCTGGCACTGAATCTTCCAGTTGTCTAGGGACCTAAAAAGCTGAAACAGAGCTCTCACGAACAAATCAAGCAAAAATCTTCAGATATTAATACTAGTGAGTATTTATACAGCATTCTGGATACCTTAACATCTTCCAAATATTCGATGTCTGCAGTGCAATAACCATCTTTCATCCCTCTCCGTAAAACTCTAAATCTCTTTCCACCAACTGTATCAACAACAGACCGTCCATCAGGTAGAAAATGAACATTCCTAATTTGCAGCATGCATCCATAATCTGCAAAGCTAGAAAACAGACCTTGTCAGTAACGCAATTACACACTTCAGAAAGGACACTTCTTTATAATTAAAAAAAAAAAAATGTATGAGAAGCTTAAAGTCAGGATGTAAACCTACCCATTTTGAGAATCGCTTATACACATCCCAAACTGTTTAGTCCCAGTTTCCATACTTCTGCGAATCATTAGTCTGTATCTTGGCTCAAACACATGTAGAGGGCAAGGCACAGTAGGATATGCCATAGTGCAAACAAACATTGGAACATTCTTGGTCAAGCTTCAAGAGAACATCAGAAGAAATATGTGGCTTTAAAAATCAAGTCACTGAACTACCCGAGACAATACATTTTTTCAGTATGTCTGCTATATTTGAGGTCATAAAGCACTCTTTTCAAAGTTTAATAATAAGCACATCATAATAACTTTCATCTACAATAAACATACATACTAATAACAGTGACTGAATACCTATGTAAAGATTTGAATACATAGTGGACAGTAAACATCATAGTTATCTAGTTAGTATCTAGTCAGTAAATGAAGGGGTTTGCTTTGAGGACAGAGGTTTAGTTATTTTTTCCTTTTTGTTTTAGTTTGAGCCATACAAACCATTATGCCTTCAGAGTCACAGTTTTCCTGGAACTAGAAAGATGTTGCAGTAACTACATAGTAGCTAGGTCACTATTTAGCTTATTTTCAATGACAGACTCCAGATGACAAGATGCAAACCAGGGTATAATTTTTACCTCGCAATATGCCTCAGCAGGCCTAACTGAAAAACATGCTATTTTATCAAGTATGTACAGTTGATACAAATGAGTTAGCATTAAAACATTACCAGGTATTTAATTTTAATACCTTTCAGACTATAAAACATAATTCTAATGTATTGATTCTGTTATGTAAGTTGCATGAGCTATAGTTTTAAATAGTTTTCCAACATTCCTATCTACAAGTACCTGATGCTTTATCTATCTGAAGATACTACTACAGATAAACATCAAGATTACAAAAGAAATCCCAACGATTTCTTTCCATCACATCTACCTTTATACAATTAATGTCTAACATGAATTGCTTTGAAAGAAATTCAAGTATCTGTGTTGGCTGCAGTCTCTCAGGAGGACAATTCCATTAACAGCAGCAAAGCTAAAACTGAAGCTCCACAACAGTGCACACAGAAAGAGAAAGAGAAAGGCAAATGCATTTTGTAGAGAATTTAAGAGCCTCACATTACTACTATCAAAGTGTGATTTTTTTTTTATTTCCAGAGTAGTTAATTTTATGAAATACACATTTAAGACAAATTAACATGTCTTTATACTCCTTCTTGCATCCATAATGTGCCATTATTAATAACCACAAAAATTATAAAACATTTCTAAAAAGTTTTTCCATACTCATCTCTCAAGTTTTCTAGATAAAAGACAGCAAACTTACTTTGAGTGTTCAGCTGTTTCTTCAGCATGAATTCTTTTTCTCTCATGTAATTCATCAGCCAAATATTTCATTATTAATTCCTCCAGCAGTTCTGTGATGCTGTATTTTCTGCTTGCAAGGTACTGTAAGCAATTTAAAAAATGTTAATATTTCTTTTCATATATATTAACAAAAGACTTGAGAAAATGCAGCTTTTATTTAAAGCCATGATATACAAAATGTGTCATAAATTAGATTTAAACCCATGAAAACTTACAGTGCTGAGGTTCTTATGTTTCAGTACGTAACATCTAATGTTACTCTAATACTTGAAAATAGATTCTCTATTTTAGTTCTTGGTGTCTGACAACTTCAGTGTCTAACACTGTATTTCTATGCTTAACAGAGACAGCATTGATTTCCCAGGTTATACAACCATACAAATAAGGAAAGTGTATAGAAATCACAGAGAGGTTTTACTGAATAGTTACCAAAGTTTACTCAAGATTTAATTACACAATAAAGTAGATGGTCACAGAAACATAAACCTTCTAAGACCCTGAGGGAAACTTAATCAACTTGTATTGAAGTTTTTCCTTTCTAGCAGAAATCCACAACCCAAATGAATCCAAGTTGTTGTGTTTAAGTGAAATAGTCTTTAAAATGATACAGTATTTGTGTTTGTGAGCTCTACTGAGAAACAGTACCTCTTTCAAACTCTCCTTACAGAGTGGACACTGAGGAGCATGGTCTAAACACCGTTCCAAGCAACCTTTGCAAAAAGTATGTCCACAAGGGGTTGTCACTGGCTCAAAGAATAGCCTGAAACAAAGTTATTAAAAGTTAGATACCATGGCAAATGTGCGTAACAAGGCAGAGAAAATTAATCCCATAACTCCTTATTCTACTTTTTCCCCTACACCAGAGTTTGTTTCTGTTTCCCACTGCATTACTCCTTTTTAGCGTTTTCTGATGAATCTGGACACATTTCAACACTCTAAATATCTAAACATTTATCCCAATGTATAAAGATTTTGGTCTCACTACATAGACATTCAGAACACACAAAATTAAGTGATTTTTTGAGGAGCTAAGTTGTTATAATATTAGTATTACATACTAGTAACATAGCTATGGACAGTTTAGTATACACCATATGTTTTAAGGTATTTATTCTGAAAACCAAGATGACTCAATTAGAGGTTTTTAATACATCAGCTACATTTAAGTAGGCTAACATTCTGAAGTATCTATATGTCCTAGACAAATAATGAGGTTCACAGGCAATACTTATTTTGGGAAGGCTAATGCTTAGAAAAGTTAAATAGTTTTACTGACTGAAAAAAAACCCTCTAATACTTAACCTCAAAAGAACCTGTCCTTTTTACCTTGCTAGTTAAAAAGTTTAATTTAAAAGGCAGCTTGATTAAAATAATACTGTGTTATATAGCACTATAGCAAGTAACACATTTAAATAAGCATTTAACTGCAGGGACAGAGGAAGACTGAAAATTACTGACTTATATCAGAACTCATCACAACCTATAAATTGAGGTACTTATATGTGTAACAGATATGTGGCCAAGCATCTAACACGGAAATATCGAATCAAGGAGGAAATCTTACCTCATACATAGAGAGCACTCAAAATCTGATACATCAATCAAATCCCCTGGTATTATTCCAAAAGCCAGTGTCATGTCCCTTTTTGTACTTTCTAAGGAAAAGCAAGACAAAATACTCCTTCAAAGAAAGGCACAAGACAGTATATGCTTTACATTTCAAAGTAAGTGACTGTTTACCTCCTTGCTTTTTGTGTTTGTTTCTTCCATCTTCACATGCAACCATATCCTGTTCTGAAAAGGAGAGCTTTCTTTTCAACAAAGCACCTTTTACTTGGCCAGAGAGAAGGGGTTCAGAAGACACTCTCTTTAAGCCATCTTCCTTGGCAAGGTCTTTTGCTGAGTTAAGAGCATGGGCAGACTGTGCACGATTTAAGCTTCCACTGACAGGTTCCAGTACCTCTGATCCTCCTAAACTCTATAATAATAAGATGAACTGAACTGTACTTAAAAAGTAACACAAATCTAAGCATGTAAAATGTGAACATGCAAAGATATACAAGTCAAACTGATACCCTTTTGTGATTTAACCAGGCAGGTAGCTAAAACAACCACACAACCATTCGCTCACACCCCTCCTCCCATTGGTATAGGGGAATCAAAAAGGAAAAAAAAAAAGAAAAAAAAAGTAAAAATTGTGGGTTGAGATAAAGACAGTCTCTAGAAGAGACTAATAATAATAATGATAAAAAGATATACAAAACAAGTGATGCACAGCACAATTGCTTACCACCTGAAACCAACGCTCAGCTAGTTCTTGAGCTGAACC